TGATCTCACATAGAAAATTATTTTTTCTACTTTAGATGAAGGTTTACAGAACAAATAGTTTCTCATTAAACAGTTAGTACAAATATTGCCCTGTGACAATGGTTAACAACCCCACGACATGTCAACACTGTCCTTTCTCAACCTTGGGTTCCCTATCACCAGCTTTCTTGTCCCCTCCTGCCTTCTAGTCCTTGTCCCTGAACTGCTGTTCCTCATTAGTCCTGTTTTGTTTTATGAGGCTGTCCAATCCCCAGCTGAACAGTGAACTTACAGAGTGACTTCACCACCAAGCTAAAAGGGTGTCCGGGGGCCATACTCTCGGGGTTTCTACAGTCTGTCAGGCCGGTAAATCTGATCTTTTTTTGTGTGTTAGAATTTTGTTCTACATCCTTCTCCAGCTCTGTTCAGGACCCTCTGTTGTGATCCCAGTCAGAGCAGTCAGTGATGGTTGCTGGGCACCATCTAGCTGTACGGGACTCAGTCTGGTGGAGGCCTTGGTAGCTGTGGTCCATTAGTCCTTTGCACTATTCTTTTCCTTGTATCCTGTTCTCTTCATTCTCCTTTGCTCCCAAAGGGGTGAGACCAGTGAAGTATCTTCTGTCGCTGCTCACAGGCTTTTAAGACCCCAGAAGCTACTCACCAAGGTAATGTAGAACATTTTCTTTATAAACTGTGTTATGCCAGTGGAGCTAGATGTTCCTCAAGACCATAGTCCCCACAGCCCTCCGCCCAGCAATTCAGTCCCTCAGGGAGTTTGGATATGTCTTTATGGAGCTTCCATGACCTTTCCTTGTACATGCTGTGCTGGCTTTCCCAGTATTGTGTACTGTCTTATCCTTCACCAAAGTTACCACTTATCTACTGTCTATTTAGTTATCCCCTCCCAACCCTCCCATCCCTCATAACCAACAAAGATTGTTTCCTTGTGTGTAAACTTTTCATGAGTTTTTACAGTAGAGGTCTCATACAATATTTGTCCTTTTGTGATTGACTTATTTCATTCAGCATAATGTCCTCCAGTTTCATCCATGTTATGAGATGCTTCTGACGTTTTCTTTGTTCCTCTTACTCTCCTTGTTGAATTCCTTTTGTTTGTGGTTTTTTTCATTTCTTTTGTTTTTGTAGGTTTTGTTTTTACTGACACTTTATGATTTCCTTCTTTATCTTGATGAGTAGGTTTGTTAACTTTCTTTGTGGTTGCCTTGAAATTTACCCTTACTTCCTAGGTTTGAACCAGTCTTATTGTTACTTTTTATTGCCTTGCCTTCCTCCATTAGAAGGTTCTATACCTACACCGTTTATTTCTTCTTTTATTTTTCTGATGCTGTTGTCATTTACAGATTAACCTCTCTGGTTCCCTGTTGTAACTCCTGTGGTTTTGGATAGTCATTGAGAGTTCATTTCCTAGGTTGGTATCTGGCTGGTACAATTCTGTGTCCTAGATTCAGCCTGTGGTCTGATGTTGTTTGTTCTCAGATTGAAGGACTCCCTTTAATAATTCTTGTAAGTTTGGTTTGGTTTTTACATAGTCCCTTAATTTCTGTTTATCTGGAAATGACCTAATTTCACCATCATATTTGAACGAGAGTTTTGCAGGATATATTATTCTTGGCTGCAGTTTTTTTCTTTCAAGGTTTTATACATGTCAACTCATTGCCTTCTTGCCTGCATGGTTTCTGCCAAATAATCCGAGCTCAGTCTTATTGTTTCTCCTCTGTATGTGACTTTTTGTTTTTCTCAAGCTGCTCTCAGGATTCCTTGTCCTTGGTTTTAGTGAGTGTGATTATGATATGCCTTGGTGATTTTCTTTTGGGGTCTATCCTATATGGGGTTCGTTGAACTTCTTGGATGGTCAGCTTTTCATCTTTCATACTATTGGGGAAGTTTTCAGTCAGCAATTCCTCAATGGTCCTCTCTGTGTTTTCTGTTTTCTGCCCCTTCTGGAACTCCGATCACTCGAAGATTTTTGCTTTTGATTGTATCCCACATAATTCTCAGAGTTTCTTCATTTTTCTTTGTTTTTTTTTTTCTGATTTTTCCTCAAACAGTTGTATCCAAGTGTTTGTCTTCAGTTTCGCTGATCCTGTCTTCCATTGTTTCAAACCTACTCCTCAGCCCCTCTATGACACTGTCCATTTCTGAGATCTTGTTATCTTTTCGATTTCTAATTGTTGTTTTTGTATGATTTCTAGTTGTGAGTTCATCTTAGCATTTTGTTCCTGTATTTTCTTGAATTCTTCCATTTTTTTGTCTGTATTTTCCATGAATTGGTCTGCCTTGTCAATGAATTTGTCTATTTTTTCCTCATTTTTGTCTGCTTTTTGATTCAACTCTTGGATAATTCTGAATATTAGAGATTTGAATTCCCTATCAGATAGTTCTAGTGTCTTTTCTTCTACTGGAAAGTCATCTGGTGTTTTATTTTGGACGCCTACCAGAACCATCTGTCCTGTTTTTGTATATGTTTTGATATTGTCTGCTGTCTTCAGGGCATTCTTGTTTATTGATTGTAGATTTGTTTGTTTCAACCTTTTTTTTTTTTTTAACTATATCTGAGCAGGCGGGCTGTGTGTTCTTTGTTGTTTGCTCATCTGTGGGCATGATACTTTCCACCTCCTTCTCCAATGGGCAGGGTCAGTCACTCAGGTATACTACAGCAGGGCAGGTCCAGCTGAAGGGGAGTTAGTGAGATGGGTTGTTTCTGGCACATACTAGGGCCGACAGGGTGGACCAGGAATCAGTGCAGGGCAGGTTCCGGTAGGCCATGCCTCTGCTGCTTGGGGTTGTGATGTTCAGCGGACGGTGTAGGTAGGCAGGAAGGAGGGGGGAGATTGTGATGTGTGGAGCTAAGATTGGTATGGGAGAGAGGAGAGAGGAACAGGAACCAAAAACATACACACAAACAAAAAAAGAGTGCTAAGGGAGCTTGCTGCTGGAGTGGAGAGATGAGAGATTGAGAAATGGAGGAAAACTAAAAGAAAAAAAAGAAAAAGGGTTAATAAAAAAAAACGAATAAATAAAAATTAGAGGAAAAAAAGAAAAGAAAAGCCTCAGGGATCCCACCAGTGTGGCTGGTAGGGCTGGGTAGAAGTGTCACACAGCACCAGGTATACAGGACACAAGAAGAGAAGGTAAGTATAGATAGATGAGAAACTGGAAATTAAGAAAGACAAAAAGGGAGTATGAGAGAGAAGAAAACAAACAAACAAAAAAACAAAACAAACAACAAGAAAAAATAAATGCCCCCAGTGATGTCACTGTGGGTCTGCGCAGAGTTAGGGAGTAGCTTCCAAGCTATGCAGTACTGCCCGGCTAGAAGGGGCTCCCAAGCCAAGAAAAGAAAAAGAAAACAAAGAAACAAACAAATCAAAACAGAACACATCAGAACAAACAAAAAAAAGCCCCAGGGGTCCCACCAGTGTGGTGGCATGGGCCAGGAAGCTGTTTCACAGTCGAGCAGTGTTTCACAGCCTTTCAGGAAGAAGCAAAGACAGCACACGGAGCCAGGTATTTGAGAAAAGGGGGCAGGGGGAGAGCTGTGAGAGGTAAGGAAGAAATCTAAAGAAGCGGAAAAAAGCAACACCAGCAGCCAACAAATGGCACTCAGGGAGCCAGCCAGTGCTGGCAGGTGGAATCCAAGCACCACCGGGGTGAAGCTGGTGCTTCCCAGCCAAGAGACTGTGGCTGCAGGAAGCAGAAGAGGCTGAGTGGGGGTAAAGAAAGGTGGGGGGTGGGAAAGCATGTATCGCTGGTTACTGGTTGTTCTGTCTCCTGCTGGAAACTCTGTGAAGTTGCTTTCTCGTACCCCTTGTTCACCTATTTCCGACAGGAGTCCAAGATGGCGGATCCGTGCTGCAGTAGGTGATAGGGGACCTCTGCATCTATCTCTCGTCGCACTCTGTTCTTGGTCAGTTTCTTATTCCATTCGGTGCTTGGCTGAGTTCTTTATCTCTTCATTTGACGCTTAGGGTTTCAGGATTGATGTGTGTCTCTGTTTGACAGTTTTTTGGATCCTTGCTGTGGAGGGATGGCGTGGTGCTTCTGTCTATAGAGCCATGTTGCCCAGAAGTAGCTCCTTTTGTTTTTATGTTTCACTTCATAATGTGTTTTGTATGTGTTTCTGCAGATAATTTAGAATGTGTTTTTTTCCTAGCGGTTATCTTTAGAAAGTTAGAATATACTTAATTTTTAACGTATTTCTATTGGTTCTGTATTATGAACAGTGAAGAAATTAAATTAGTACATTTTCATTTTTCTCCATATCCCTTCCTTACTTTCCAAAGTTTTGTTGATTATTTTCATTAGTGTTGCTGACCTTTATATTTCAAAATATATTTATTCCTGTACTACATGATTAATCGCCTTTTAATCTTTTGACTGTCAGAAAACATGACAGAATTAATAAACCTTCTTCTCCCCATATAGCCCATTTTGTTAATTATATCATGTTTACATCTTCAGGGTTAGCATTTACGTTCTGTTCTATAACCATAATCCCCATATTTCTTTTAATCTCAGTCCTTCATTTAACTGCATTGAATGCTCACTATTAGTCCTTTGCCAAGGTTTGTCTTCTTGTTGTTGTGTGCCATAGTCGATTCCAACTCATAGCAACCCTATAGGGCAGAGTAGAATTGGTCCATAGGCTTTCCTATCTTATAATTTTAAGGGAGCAGATCTCCAGATCTTTTCTACTGTGAAGCGGCTGGTGTGTTCAAACCGCCAGTCTTTCAGTTAGCAGCCGAGCGTTTAACCACTGCACCACCAGGACTCCTTTGCCAAGGTTTACTAGTTTTCTTTGTTGAATTTCATTCTCTGAGTTTAGAAGGTTCTTCAATGCTGAGTTCTTGCATTTTCAAAATTGTTTGCTTTGATACTTCGAATGTCAGATTAACTAGATATAAAATTTTTAGGTCCTACTTTATTTCCTTGAGGACTTGATAGGCATTACTACTCTGTTTTCTAGCATGGAATGTTTCTCTGGAGAAGTCTGAGTTCAGCCTGATTTGTCATAATATTTTTTTCCTGGATATCCAAAGGACTCTGATGTTCAGTAGTTTATTGGTGTGTGTGTGTATGTGTGCACGTATCAGTGTTGATTGGATGGGAATGTGAAAATGCCACCGATTCAACTATACCCATAACATTTTATTTCTTTAAAAAAGAAAATGATATGAAGCAAATATGCCTGAATGTTAACATGAATTAAATATAACTGGTGAGTACAAAGAAGTCTGCAGTATTATTCTCTGTGCTCCAGGGTATGTTTAAAATATTACTTTTTTTTTTAACATTAAAAAAAAAATGCCATTCAACTGTAAATCAGGGAACATCTGTATGTTTCAGTGATCTAGTCCAAAGTATAATTCATTGAAAATCAGTTTTGCCTTACTGATCTTGATGTGCATTCTTGTTTTTCTTATATGTTGACAACCACTCACCTAATTGCTGTTTTTTTCCTTTGGTGTTCATTTCCTAAATTGTGAGTAAAAATATTTTATATTCTAAAGACCTATAGTTGGAAATTATAAAATTCTAAATTTACAATCTGCAGAATAGAAGTTAGTATTAATTGTTTCAGGAGCTAGAACTAAATGGGATTTTTTACTAAAATCTGTTAAGTGATACATATTTGCTGGGTTGGAACTATTTTGAACCAATTATTGCTCTAAACATACAGATAGAATTTAGGGATGAAACACCATGATAACTGAAAGAGTTAAGTATTCAGGACTCTTCCCCGTACCCCAACCCCCTTTTTTTTATTAGCAGCACTCTCATAAGTACAAGTCATAATAAAAGGGAAATGAATCACCCCTGTTTTATTTTTATTCATATTTAGTTTTTAGTACTAAGGGATTTTTTACATTTGCTTTTCCTCTGTGTTCAGGTATATGTCTCGAGTCCACGGTATGCATCCAAAAGAGACCACCCGTCAGCTGAGCTTAGCTGTGAAAGATGGTCTTATTGTTGAAACTCTAACAGTGGGCTGCAAAGGTTCAAAAGCTGGTATTGAACAAGAAGGATATTGGTTGCCAGGAGATGAGATTGTAAGTATATTTAATTTGATATTTAGTTACACTGACTTTCAGTTTTTGAATATTATTTAGATACAACCTGTAGAAATTTGTTCAGCATTTAATAGTATTTACTTTTAGGTTTTTTATGAACATGAAAGATTTACACTGGTAGAATGGATACTTTCCTCACTGATTCTTTAGGAGCTAACTTGCTTTTAAAAAGAGCCTTCTTTCTCTATGAATCTAAAAAAGTATAAGAATCTAAAAAAGTAAAACAAACAAAAACCCCTTACAACCTATTACAAATGGTATTACTAAGTATTTTCTTCAATAAATTTTAGTAAAAAAAAGTTTCAACACAAGATAATCTTGGTATCATCTAGACAGACTGAAAGGAATAAACTGTCATCTTAGGGAAAATTCTCATTTTAAGTTGGAGTTATATCAGAACCTAGAGACAAGCTTGAAGTGGAATTTTGTTGCTAAGTATACAGGTTTCAAATGTTAGACTCCCCTGGGCAATATCTTAATTGACTAGTGACTATAGCAGTGTTTTTTTGGACTAGAACAAAAATCAAATAGGAAAGACAAAAAGTTAATTCTTTTTATATTTTTTCCCAGTTCTTATTCTGACTCCTCTTTTGTTAAGATATTTCAACCTTTTCTTTCAGTGTGTAATTTTATACTCAGTGGCACAAATAGAAATGCATTTTTTCTTACATAAAGATTAGTTTCATGTGTGATATTTCTTTCTACTTTAGTTGCTTTTGATATTTCTAAAAGCTTAAAAAGAATGTCTTAGTTTTTGCATAGGAACATAATTCAAGGTGATAGGTTTCAAATATAATAGATGTTATTTATTTTTAGTTTTTTAAAGGAGTGGATTTAGTAACTAGGTATTTTGAGAGTGTTTTATCATGCGTTCTCTAAACTATAAAATTATAAAAATGATAAACTTAAAATTGTTTCTTTGTGGAAAAATTTTCTAAAAACTTGAATTACATTTCCTTTTCTGGCTCTGTAGGCATTGAGTCAGCAGACACATACTACAGTAATTCCTCAGTTACAAACTTTTGACTTCTGACTTATGGAAAACTTGTTCTTGCCCTTTAATGTTATGTTAATTTGCCCTCACTGAAAGGATTGAACCAACCCCCACTCCCAACAAATTCTTCATCACAATCATCTTCACTTGCTGCACGTGCAGCTTTTAAATCACTGGAAAGGTTTTGAGCCTTTTCTTGCACTAAAGTAAAGCTAAATAAGAACCATATGCACTTTTTCCGACTCACCTACAAATTCAACTTAAAGACACACTTAGGAAGGGATTTCGTTCATAACTCGGGAATGTCTGTATATCCTTATCAGGCCTGAGAGCAATAAACTGACACAATTTATGGTAGTGAGCTGGTTCACAGAAGCAGCTGCCATAAGTTATAAAATTAGAAAAGTTGTTGAGTTTTAACACTGTTGTCAGTTTAAACTGTGCCTTCACAGCTTCAGAAAAGAAAATACATGTTTTCTACAAACGGAAAACATGAACGAAAAAATTATTTAATTTCACGGTTATCATTTGGTTTGTGCAGTAGAAATGGTCTTGAAAAGTTAAGTGAAAATGTTCATATCAGAACAATTTTTCTGGTGACTTTCCTTAAAGAAAAGTGAAGCTTTGTTGTCAAAGAAGAAACTTTTGACCCAAGACATAATAAAACAATGTCAAGTGATGTATATCTATCTGTTACCAGACATTTAAAGAAAGGGCCACTGAATACTTAATACTCTTATTATATATTCAGAATAATCCTAAAGGTAATAATCCAGATAATGTAAAATTTCTAACCTTGAACCACTTGGAAACTTAGAGGTTTAGTATAGAAGACTATACTGATAATTTCTGAGGTTTATTTAGGAATTAACCAATAATAAATGCAACTTAATCCACATGATTTTGGTTTGTGGATCATGTGCACATTTTTTTCATAAAAGCCACTCATGGTTGATTTATCAATATGACTTATTATCCATTGCCTTTTCATTGCATTGACATGTATGCCTTTGTCCTTTTTCTTCTCTGTGATTTTATTTATCTTTACTTGTTAGATCTGTGCTTTTCCATATGCTTTCTTCCTCCTCAAATTGGAGTTTTCTTTGTTCAGTTTAATTCAGCAAGCAGTTGATAAGCTTATTATGCATTCATCACTGTATTAGGTTCTATATTGTATTTTTTTACATGTTCTTAGTGCATATATTTATAACATCAACTTTCTTATTTTTTTTTTTTTTTTAGGTGAAATCTTGTATGTAGATTAAACAGCAAGTATACAGGTTATTAACTCTGGTTGGTTCTTATTCACAAAGATTTTTACACTAACTATACACATGTAATATAAGCACAGTTGTGTATATCAAATTGTGTTTAGTTTATAAAATACGTAAATATTAAAAATTCAGAGGCAATGTAGTATAATAAAAAGAGGTAAGGTCTTGTATGTTCCTATAGACAGGCATTTATTTAGTTGTGTGAACTTGAGGAAATTTCTTAACCTCTGATCCTCAGTCCTCAGCTGTAATATGGGGACATTAATATCTAATTCACTTAATTGTTTTAAGGGTTGAGATTAGGTATCTAAAGCATGTAACTGTGTACTCAAAGCAAGTTTTTGACCAGTGAATAAATATGCCTGAACCAAGAAATTCCTATGTATAGTACAACAAAGCACATAAATTTGTTATTAACCATACAAGCAAAATTTCTCCTCAGGGTCTTTTTACTTTTCACCCTTTATGTTCAGACACGAAGTTTGTAAAGAGGTTTTCCTTTAAGACACTGGATCTTTGTTTAAGGTATAACTATAAAATCATGTGTGTATCTCATTACGGTGGCTGCTGTAGCCACCTAGCTACCCAGGAACTATATATGTGCTGTAATTTTTATGCCCTAATAATATTCTAGAAGGATATATAATTAAATATATGTTACACTTGGTCACAACACAACATCCTACACCTAGTCAGCTTCATGTGTCTTTATTAACACCATGGCCCCTGCAGGTGGTTGTGCCAATTATGAATTGCACAGCTAAGGAAGTACCATTCACATCTTGTTGTTGTTGCTGTTGTATGCCATCGAGTCGATTTTGACTCACAGTGACCCCATAAGACATAGTAGAACTGCCCAATAGGGTTTTCTTGGCTGTAATCTTTACAGGAGCAGATCGCTAGGTCTTTCTCCCGAGGAGCCGCTCGGTGGGTTTGAACTGCCGACATTTTGGTTAGCAGCTGAGCACTTAACCACTGCGCTGCCAAGGCTCCTTCATTCACATCATAAACTTGTATATTTACTCAACAGTTTTCTAGCATAATTACAGTAAAGTGTCTTATTCTAACAAAATCACTATTTAACAAGAGTGTCTTACAACAGGGACATCTTTTCTAATTTGCACAAATGCATTCTATGGGCTATGACAGTCCTGCATGTCAGCATTTGAGTCTGGGGCTCCATCCTTTCTTTATAGTTTCACCACCTTGTATGTGGTTTGAATCACTCTGATGCCTCCAAAACTGAGTTATTAAATTGAAAGCTTCATGTTACTACACATCTTGTTTACTTTGATTCAGTATCAAGAGAGAAAAAAGTCAAGGCCTCCAGAAGGAGAGGCATAGGGTGTTTTTGGTTATCAGTTTTTAAACCTTTAAGTCAAAGTTACAAATATTCTTTACTCAGGCAATTCTGTCATTTAAAAATGGATATTAAAGCTCTTCTTTTCCTTTTGTTTCCTCTAAAAATGGTAGCTGTGATCTCAGAGGTGGGGGAAAAATTTTTATTTCTCTTATTAAGTCCCACAGGTTATATCCTCTGAAATACTTTGTTTCAGTAAAGAGACTGGGCTCTACTTGTTTTCACTTCCAAAATTATGTTAAGAAAGTGAAGGTGGACAAGAGTATAGTTTTCTTTATGCCACTCAACAGTAGTGGATGGAGTTTTGAAAGCCAAAGTGTTTGTGTTACATTTTTATTCCACCTCTGCTACACTTTTTCCAGTGCTTATTCTTAAAAACTTGTTAAAATTGAAAAAAACACATACCTTAAATAGTATTTTTATTAAATCCAGCAATTGTGTAATAAAAACTAATAACTATAATAATATGTCAGTATCAGTTATCTACAAGTGGAAGCCTATATATTATAAGTGAAAGGCTGTGGCCCCCATTATGTTGAGGTTCCTTCTATTAGATTAGAATTATTTTTAGGCATTTTGAGATGCTGGTCTCTACCACCATTTTTACCTCTATGTCTGAGATAATTCATTTGAAAAAACTATGGTGAAATTAGGCAATAGATAAGCATCTTAGTGGTGATATTTTAAATATGTCCATTTGATATGGTAGAATGAAAGAAGTAATTATTAAACATGAAGATGCTCCCAAATTAAAATGGGTTTGCTAAAATATTAGTCAATAACAAAAGCACGTGTACCAATCGATTTTTAAAATGACAAGTTTGGTAAACCTAGAAAACACTCCTGTAAATCTTCTACAGTCATCTTAAACTTCCAGATTGGTGTGACGTTAACATTTACTTATAGGATCCAAATAATTCTTTTAAAGGTGAACAGAAAAAGGTTTTCATAGCTTTTAAAATTTTATTATAGACCAAGGCACAGAGTGAAACTTCGTGATGTCTGACCAACATTTTATTATATGAAGCCTTTTTTTTTTTTAAGAAATGTTACATGTCCTCAGTGGGCTCATCATCTGCTTCCTCTAAAGAAATATAAATGAATGGCTAGATTCAATCCATATTTCTTCACAATATTTTACCCCCTTTATTCTCACAAGTTGAGAAGTATATTTCTTGGGCAGAATTTTACCACTTGCTGGACTTAAGTTTGGTATTTAGTAGCTCCTTTTTAATAAGTATAAATTTATCTCAACTTGTGAGTTAAACTCTTAACTCATAAGGTGTTCACTAATGATGGTGATTATTTTTAAACTATTTTTAAAGAGTTTACTTCATCCCGGGAAGATCTTATAAAGTTATTTATTGTAATACAGTAGAGGAGGTAACCTTGAGTTATGGATCATTTGCAAGTAAAACATACCAGACGTGTTTTGAAATTGAGGCAGTTAATACTATTTACTTGGTGACTTTCAACTTCATTCATGGTCCCTGCACAAAAATATGACTCTACTGCTAGTATTTGACAGGATACTGTTAATATGACATTAAGTAATTTGGTCATTAGTATTTAGGATGACTTAAAAACGTAAAGAATAACATCTACAAAACTACTTCTCCCTTTATTTACCTGCCAAATCTAGATTTAGGGTCTCATTTTTTTTCTTTCATAGTTCATATCAGTGCAAAGATAGAAACCATAGCTTACATTTCTGTTAGGATCCTTCTACTACTTTGTTTTATTGCTCATGGTTCAAGTAAATGCAAACATAAGCTCAGGTCTTGGCTATTATATCTTTCTGCTTTGTTTTAACATAATCCAGTTTGTACTGCCTATTACCTGGATTTTATACTATTTTAAACTAGACCTAAGAGGCATCTTTTTAAGTGAAAAGGTAAAATTCTGTACTTTCTGCTTTAAGATTTTTTACAGCGTTTAAAAAGTGTAATTAAGGAAAATAGACATTTTATAGTTTTTTAGAGAGATTAAATATTATGTTGGGGACTGTTGTTGTTAGGTGCCGTCAAGTCAGTTTCAACTAATAGTGAGTGACCCCATGTGACAAGGTAGAACTGCCCCATAGGGGTTTTTCTAGGCTGCAATCTTCATGGGAGCAGATTGCCAGGTCTTTATTCCACAGAGCTGCTGGGTGAGTTCGAACTGTCAGCCTTTTGATAAGCAGCCAAGTGCTTAACCATTGCATTACCAGGGCTCTTTATGTTGGAGATTATTGTTGTAGTCGTTGAATGCCCTCGAATTGATTCCAACTCATAGCACATGGGCTTAAATCTTCATTTAGAGAAGGGCAAACTAGACACCTTTTATTCCTATCACCGTCTGCTTCTCCCAACCCAAAACAACCAATCTAAAAGAAGTTTTGATTTATATATTTATTGAAATTTAGTTAGGTGGTAGGAGTGGAATTTATGGCCTTATTGTTTAGAAATAACACCATAAGCAACCATGGCAAGAAGTGGCTCCCTTGCTTTGTTCTTGAGAAATCTAACAAGAGAGGCCTGCTAAACTCAAACTGAGTTTGACTCTCTCAACCCTCTTTCATAAATACAACTTAGTACAATAAGAATTTTTTAAAAATAGATCTTTTCCTTTTTCTTACTATAGTTACAGTTACCATAAATTAAATCATATGTTTTAAATACTGTAAATGCCAAACTTGATGCCCCTAGAATACTGATGATTTCTTAAAAAATGAAATATATTTTATTTTATTTATGTTAATTATGTGCAGAACCACATATTCCTTCCACAGGCCCACTTACAAAAATATGAATAATAATTTATTAAGTAAACTGTTAAGTGAAGTGATTATTAATTCATTAGAAGCCAGTTATACTTTGGTTCTCTATGTATTCAAACTATAATATACACACTTTATACTCAGAAATTATTCTTGCTTTGGTAAAGAATTTCCATTTTATTCAATAGTATATTGTTGGGCCATACTATCCTGCTATACTCTTAAGCTTATATTGAGTGTGTGTGTGTGTGTGTGTGTGTGTGTGTGTGTTCTTTTTTTTCTCTTCTCTCAATTCTTTTAATGAACAATGTTGCAATATTTTCATTTTAAAGAATAATTAATATTTAAAATTACTGGAGATATTTAATCATCAAATTCTTATCTCCTAATAATTTGTGGAATATTTTAACAGAATTAAATCTGGAATTGTAAATAATCAAACACATGTATTTGGTAGTGTAATATTTATCTGCTCATTAAGTAGAAATAGAAAAGAAAATTACAATCTCTTTTGAATTATCGATCAGGGTGGAATATAATTTTGGAAGGTTTCAGTTCCAGATTTCCACTTACTTCCCTTGCTACATGACCGTGAACAACTCTTTCTGTGCTTCAGTTTTATCTCTAAATGAGTTAATATTTCTTGCTTTATCTAACTTACAGATATGTTGTGAGAGTCAAAGCAGATATGGTATTTTAAAGTGCCTGGAAAAGAAATACGCCCACATATATTATTATAAATATGTTATATCATTTTATGACTTGGTCAGTCTCTGTTTTATGCATTGTAGGAAGTAGATAATCTTAGTAAGACAGCTAACATTTATTGACTTCTTACGTTGTGCTAGACACTTTTCTTTTGGAGCTCTGGTGGCGCAGTGGTTAAAGAGTTCAGCTGCTGACCAAAAGGTCAGCAGTTCGAATCCACCAGCTGCTCCTTGGAAACCCTATGGGGAAGTTCTACTCTGTCCTGTAGGGTCGCTATGAGTCGGAATTGACTCAACAGCAATGGGATATACCTGTTAACTCATCTGATCCTAAGAAAGCCCTATAAACTGGGTACTATTATTTTGTTCATTTTACAGGTAGAAAATGGCACACGGAGAAGCAAGGATTTGGTCCAAGGTTATACAGCTAACAGGTGCCAGGGCTGGGATCTGAACCAGTCTGGCTCCAGAGTTGATAGTCTTAAGCAAACACTATGAATGGGTGACACAGAGTTAGATAAACAGACTGCTGCTAGATGGTGGGTTTTCTTCTACTAGGCTCTAAAGACAGCCTGTATAAATTTTATACTTATGGTGAAGTACTGAGTTTGCTACTTTCACATCCATCACTCCCAATTTGTTCTTAATCCAGGTTGAACCGATTTCAGATCAATAAGACATATAGGTCTTGCGCTAATTTATAATGTCACTAAGTTTATTTGTGAGTAAAATATTTTTCTAACATCATCTTAGGATTCATGATGCATGAATTCCTGGAGAGAGATTTTCTCTAATGTCCATTTGTAGCTTTCATGTTAAGAGTGAAAAGTTTCCTCTTAAACTAGTAACAGCTCTTTGAGTTTGCATGCTATTGTCTTTTCATTAATGATTAGCACATTAATAGATTATCAATTGATACCATGTGCAAAATAAAAGTTGTATAGCAAATAGTAAACAGTTTGACCATGTATGAAATCCCTTTAGCCCTGTGTATTACCTGATATTGAGCAAAGTTATAGTAGAGAGACCAAGATTATTTTGTTTTTATTTTGAAAGGCCTACAGTATGCAGCCTTTCTCCAGGACAGCAACCCCAAACAAGGTGAACTAATTTTGCACTATGTTCTTTTACTTTAATTCTGCCTTTTTTTTTTTTTGTATTACATTTCTATCTTACTTTAGGCTAGCTTAGTTAACTCTTACTAAAATCATTTGTTAAAACCATACTATCTTTATATTGCTTCTAGTTCTGAATTTTGTGCTAATAGGTTTGCTTTTTAAAAGTTTCCTTGTATTAGAAATGGCATTTCACATATTAGGCTCTTAATCAGGTTGTATCTAGAGTAGCTGATGACATCTGGTGGAATCCAGTGAAAATGCAAACTTAGCTTGTTGGCATATATTATTGGGTATTAGTCTAAACCACTATATAAATAAACTCTATTTACTAAAAGGCAAGTTGTAGGCAACTCTGCCTATAATAAACATGTCCGTGTTATTTATACCTCAGAAAAATGTCTACTGGATTCAGATTCTGATAATGCTCGAACTTGACTTTTGCATGCTTTGTGTGTTGTATAGTAAACAGCTTGGCGATTCAAACCCACCAGCTGCTGTGTGGGAGAAGGTTGTGGCAGTCTGCTCCCGTAAAGGTTACAGCCTTGGAAACCATATAGGGCAGTTCTACTCTGTCCTATAGGACCGGTATGAATCGGAATCGACTCAATGACAATAGGTTTATTGCCACGATTAAAAGAATGAACAATGTTACATATATTTCCCAGCCCATAACAATCAGGGAATGGAGTTAGTTATATGCCATCATAGAAATATATATCCAAATGTTTCTCTACTTTTACTTCATTTGAGTTTATATTCATTTCTGTAATTGTTTTGAAAAACTAGGTCTAGAATTAAACACCCCATAGAAGAAAGCTCCATTTTCATCTTCATTTCATGGGTGGATGAGGAGAGTGGAAGGGTAGAAAGATGTAGGAGAGAATACGGAGGGCTTAGAGCTATGCACTAAAATTATACACTCTTGCTTCCTTTTCTTAATTAACCTAGTAACTACCATTTGACCATCACATGAAGATGAATTATAGAAAGGAATATAAAAAAAAATTCAGATGATGAAAGATGGCAGTTTCTATTATTAATAATGAGTCATATGAGGAAAATATTCAGAAGTACTTTGTTTTAGATTTGGAAAGAGTTTTGTTAATTAAAAATAGAACAAGGTATCATCTCCACTGAAACCTAACTTTTCAGCAGTTATTGATTCAAAAATGGAAATAGCTAAAATGCAGGTTACATATAAGCCATCTGAAAGGGATACACCAATGACTGTTACTTTAATAAAGCTAAGCACCACACACACATATATCATGTCTATATGTTGCCACTATGTCAAACTTTGGGCTAGATTTTTTTTTCTAATATGCACAGATTAGGATCTTATGTCAAATTAGTATCTTACGATTTTTAAGCAGTCCAACTGAAATTACTCCACCAATGTGAGTGGTATATACATCTGCAGCAAATAACTAAAAATTGTCATGCCTTTTTTCTTTCTTTTTTTTAACTTTGGTTGATAAAGAAAGACCGCCAATTTCTTAATAAAAAGCAAACCAGAAAGTTTATGGTTTTGCAGAATTTACTGATGTATTTTTGGCTAGGATTCTGAATGTGGGTTGGGAGACATGAATTTTGGAACATCATTAAATCTCAAATATCCTCCTCTTTGAAGGAGTGGAAACTGACACTCAGATATGGTCAAGCAGTGATAAATCTGAACCTTTAAGATTTTTTAAAAAAGCACTGCTTACTAAACGAATGCTATATAGAAGCCCACTCATTGGAAGAGTGTTGACATCAGACCGAACGAGAAAGCTGCTCAGCCTTGGAAACATATTTTTTAAAAAAACAATAATGGTGGATCCCAAGGTTAGAATTTCAGGAGCCCCATTGGAAGTGGTCTTGATTATATTAAATGTGGATTTTACCCTTGTTCATTGGGCTACCATATCTACAAAATAAGGTTGAAAATTAAGCCATCACTCTTAGCACAGGTATTTTTTATTGAAAGCAAAGGGTGATGTTTATGAGGAGTGAATTATAAATTAAGGGAACTCATAACAGTCTTCCTGCTTATATCTAGATAGTACTGGTTGTACAAAAACGTGTAAAAAAAAAAAAAGAAAATGTTGAAGAATACCTGTGTAGCTGCAGTCATGTTCTTTTATCTCCAGGAATAGCTCCAATAAGAAAATAAGCCTACTTTCTTTTTTGCTTTTTATGGTAATGTCCACTGGAGAATGTGATTAAACTTTCAGTTTCACATTTTCAATTTATTTTTCCAAATTCAACAGACCCTGAAAACTTGACAACCTATCAGAACATGGACATTCTGATTAATGATTATTTTCAATAAAGCATCCAATACCATGGATGAGAAGATAAGAATAGTGAATAGTGAGCATCACCATCTATTACTGTTTTTTCTGTTCCCACCTTGTGCTAAGGGCTTATATTAAAAACAAGCAAATAAACAGAGCAGAACAAAACAGTCTCTATTTGAAATACTAAGCTCTAGGTTGGTTTGGGGTCTTCATTTACTGGAGAAATTACTCCATAGGTTGTTTAAAAAATGAAAGATAATGTTAGAACTGGGATCGGATTTGGACTTATTTCATTTTGGACTGGTTTTGTTATCAGATCACCTTAAGATATCTCTGAATATTAATACTGTTTAGGAGAGAATTTAAAACTTACAGTAAATTTCTAAGTATTTTGTTCCCTCTTGTTTTAACACAGTAAATGTTAAAATTGTATATAATGCCTAACTTCTGATGGACGTTAGTTTCAATTTTGTTCTTAGTCATTGCAGATACTGACAAAATATCATACCAAATTATTTTGTATTTTTTGTAGGACTGGGAAACAGAGAATCATGACTGGTATTGTTTTGAATGCCATTTGCCTGGAGAGGTGTTGATATGTGACCTGTGTTTTCGTGTGTATCATTCCAAGTGTTTGTCTGATGAGTTCAGGCTTAGAGACAGCAGTAGTCACTGGCAGTGCCCAGTTTGCAGGGTGAGTACCTATGAGCTTTAATGTGCTGGTTAGAGGGTTGAAATTAATTAATAATAGCTTCACAAAGATATCCCAGGTGGTCTTGCCAGGTTAATGGATAAAGTACTGGAGGGTGGGGGTTATCTACTGAAATGATAATAATGAACAGAGCACTTAATAAATGGATATCCCAGAACACATCACATATTTCAGGGTACTATCCGTATAGATTTCAGAGAGTTTCAATCACATACAAATATACTCTTTCCCCTTGTTATACACCTGCCTCTGGTTTATGTAACTACTTTAATGGATAGCCTTTGGAAATCAAGAAATACTATACCATACCAAGGTTGTTCAATAAGTACTTTATAATAAACTACAAAATTTATGCTATTCAGAAAATACAGTGAGCAAAGGCACATTGTTGGAAGCATTCTATATCTATTTCCCATTTTATATCCATGTTTATATCCAGTGTTGCCTTTTTCTGTCATATCATAAACTGTTTTTTTTTTTTTTTTTTGCTTATTTTTTATTTGGAGGGTGGAGGAATGGGACGATTGTATATAAAGAATTTGAATTCCTTTGTTTAAAACAAAATGAATTAGTCCAGTAGATAAATAGGTACTTCCCACAATTATTTTCATTCATTTTCCCCATAAAAAGTGTACATGCTGTGGTTGTTGGCTGCAGAATGTGGTATGTCTGTGTGAATGAGTCGTGTGATGAAATCCTACATTAAATATGGCATTGATGGTGATAAATGAGGGATTACTTAATTGCAACTTCTACTGTTTTGTACTTTTAATTATTAAAATATTTATTTGGAACCATGCAAATTGTCCAGATTACTCATGAGTTCAGTTTGTAAATATGCTTTGTAATACTTGAGTAACTTAAATGCTCATATACTCTTCCAAAAAAAGTTCTGTCATCATAATTTTTCCCTCTCTTTTGACATTAGTCAAAAACTGTTCTGCCAGTGTGATGAGCAAAATACAATATACATTCCTAGCCTTCCCCCAGTAACTAGTTTTTTATTGCCTACATATACTTAATCTTACTGGCACTACAGTACATATTCAAATAGACAAAAGACAGTTGGAATAGCCTTTAAAAAAATAGTGTGTAATGGTGATTTATCAGTTAGATGCCTAAATGCTTGGTAAGTTATGATAAACCCCTAAGTCTGAATATACTTGTTTCTAATCTCAAGTTGTGGACCTCATCTAAGAGACTTTATGAGGTCTGTGAGAAATTAGTGTCATCAGCGGTGTAAATATTCATAATTTCAAGCAAAGGCACTGCATTAATGTTCATGTTTTATTCCCTCGCGGATTTGGATGTTACATTTTATCCTACAGGAAGTAAAGAATTAGTAAGATCTTAAAAACAAGAGCATTAAGGTACACAAAAATAGAAGAGAGGCAGTATCACTGATCAAATCGAGGTATAATATGGAATCATAGGAATTTAGGAAATACATAATATTTAGTTCCAATTTTGATAGTAAAGAATTTAAAGAAAAACGCTAGGATTTTAGAACATGGGTTAAGCTTCATTGTAGATGTTTTATATTTCTTACATTAAGAATGGAAATTGAACAATTATACCTTTGAATAAAATATGTAATACTTCATCAGAATTTATTATCAAGTTGTCTGATTCCATCTCTATTTGTGTTTGTTTGCTCCACTCTTTTATCTGTCTATCATCTATCATATCTATCCATCCATCCATCCATCTAGACTGCAGAGTGTTACTTGCTCACACAGAAACATGATAGCCAAAGTGGAACCTAGCTTATCCTATTCAAGTCTTCTTTTCTTGGTTTTTTCTTTTTGTCTTTCTCAAGCTACATATATTCAAACTGTGATATAACTGTGCTTACTGAAATGATACTGTGAGTCAATACAAAATCTTGATTTAAATGCCGATTTTATAGCTACTTATTTTAGGGCTCAAAAAAGCTTATTTTCTAGGTTAAGGGTGGAGAATTTTAGCTTGAGCTTTAAAAACGTCGAAAGAAACAGTTATTTCTATATTAAGTCTTTTCTATTGTTTTAATCGTCACGTTCAAGAAAAATATAGGAAATGCTAACAATTCCTAAGGGGAATAACCTTGAAATTCTAATGGGATTTTAATATTGTTAAGGTGAAGTTTCTGGTTGATCTGGTTTTTTTTAAACAAAGTGTCAAAACTTTGAGTAAGACTATTTTTTATAATCTAACATGAGACTTACTAATCAGATTTAAATATTCTTGGACTATTAGGATGAAATTCAACAACTTTGGTACCACATCAGAATAACTTACTTTTCTATGTTTTCTTTTTAATTAATTTTTGGAAAGATATACTAGTAAGAAATTTTGAAGATAAGATACCAGAGTCAAATTTCAATACAGGTAAAAATAGTAGATGGAAGCCAACCATTATTACCTAAAATGAGGATTTAAAAAAGCCCCTTTCTGGCACTGAGTTTCTGTTAATAGTGGTGGAATACTTTGAAAACCAACAGCGGTGATGGTTGCACAACATGAGGACCGTAATCAGTGTCATTGAAATTGTACATGTAAAAAATGTTGAATTGGCAAATGTTTTGTTATGTATATATTTATCACAATAAGAAAAAAAGCCCCTTTCTAGTATTTTGTGTTGATCAAAACACTGTTTCATTCTTAAATAACCACTATCCCTTACAATACTGAAAAATGTCACCCAACTATCAAATGTGTTAATAATTTAATTCAGCTCAAGCGGCTTTATCTCACATATCTATTTCTGAAATATTTTAAGGGCGCAATGAGAAAAATTTTTATAAATTTAAAATAATTTTATCAGTTTTTATAATAAAACTCAAGAATCTCACAACCCTGAGGATATTTCTTTGGAATGTTTGCCTTTCTAAAAAGGTAATTAAACTTTTACTTTACAGACATACTAGACAGTAATTAAGCTTTCACTTTATAGACACAGTAGATTGTTATTGTAAAGTAGCCTGAGAATATCAAGTTAGCATTTTGTTTTGGAAAAAAAACTGAGTAATGTTGAGTTTCATACTTGTTACTGAGAGCTCTCATTAAGTTAAGGAAATAAAAAGGAATTCAAAAAAATTTAAGTTTGCTGTAAAAAAAAACACACACACAAATAATTTAGAAGAGGATAAAGAAGAAAAATAAAATTCCCAGAAACCCTGCCACACAGTATGTGAATACTCAGACCTCTCCCTGTGCATGTGGGTATGGGTGTATATATTTATATATCTGTATCTGTATAACTTTACATAAATTATGTGATGCAACCAGTTTGTTTCCACTCAGCAATGTCCTCATCATCTTTGCATATTGGTAAATGCTTGTCTACATATCATAATTTTAAAAGGGTGTACCATAATTTATTTAATCAGTTCTGCATTTATACACACTGACATTGTTTCTATCTTTTTGCTCTAGTCAGTAACACTACACTGAAAACTCATTTGTCAAAGGCGGCATTCATATTGCCATGTCCAATTATACATATATATATGTATATATGTGTGTATATATATATATATAGTTCCCAAATGACTAAGTCATTTTATTCTTTGGTACCATGGTAACAGAAGGCAGGTGTGTGTGTGTTTGTGTGTGTGTGTGTGTGTGTATGTGTGTGTTCATACATGTGTACTACATGCCTACTTTTTACAAGCCTGCTGGTGAAAATCGTGATAGTATTTGAGTGATAACTATTGGAATTTTTGTTTTGTTTTTAATACATGGTAAAGGTAATCTGTTATTAGAAACCATATGTAGGTGGCTGGGTATTACAGTACCTTTTAGAGCAGTGCTGTCCAAAAGAGCTCTCTGCGGTGATGGAAGTGTCCTGTATCTGTGCTGTTCAGTATGGTAGCCAATAGCCACAAGTGGCTATTGAGCATCTGAAACGTGGCTAGTGGCTACACTATTGGTGCCATTTTAGAACATTCATATTCTATATGCCTCTATTACTCCAACAGAAGCATATTTTGGTGTAAAATGTTGGCCTCATCAGTGGCCTAGCATTTGTTTTCCCCATCAAGCTATAGTTATGACTTGGAAGAATTCTAAAGGAATGATATAGAACAGTTTAACTTCCCAATGCCCCTCCTGTGCCTAGTGTGCACTGCAGATTCTATAGCAAATAATGCCCTGCATAGATTAGTGGCCATAATATCTGATAGTGCTGCATTTATTCTGAATCTAGTGCCTCGTTAAAGTCAGATTAACTTAAAACAAAAAAAAAAACCTTTATAGCAACACATAAAAAGTGTGTAGATTTTTCAGACAATAAAAATAATTAGCACTTGCCAGCTTTATAGTTTGGAGACATATTTTGAAAGTGACCCCTTTTTCCTCCATCCTCTTTTAATATATGCATATTCCTTATATAAATTATTTTTGTTTTCATAATTTAGAGGAGATTGTAGATTCATGTTACTGTTCCATTTAAATTCAGATAAATGAGATTTTTATATTTTGATTAAAATGTATCATTTGGAAACAGAATGTAGGGGTCTAAATTTTGTATGATAAGCCTTTAGAATAAGTGAAGCATGTAGAAAATTAGTATAATGGAAAGATAACAGTGATATAATAGTTTTCTTTTCTATATTTGGGCCTCTGAAATGAAATGCTGCTCAAGTGAAATCCATCCAAACATTTTTATCTTAGACTTTGAAAATTGTTTGCTTTAAAACAAAGTTTATATTAGTATTCTGTAGTATCTTCTAAGAATTTCAAATTATTTTACAAACTTTGGTTCACTTTACATCCCATTTATGATAGACTTACTGTGACTTTTAAGTGACAGAATCAATTTAAGTCACAAAAGAAAAACTAACTTATTCAAGGTATGGATGGGGCACATATTGTTCCAGTACACCTTTAAAACTGGAAAATGCCTGTCTCCCCACAAGTATTTCAGATGGTATGTTTCTCTGTGTAAGGATCACAAATTTTAAAATTTATGTTGACATATACATGGTATGATGAATCAA